TAGGGGCCTTAATAATTTAGAGTAGGGTCTTGGGGCCCAGTATACCATATTTATAACAAGGAACCTAAGGAATATTGGTGATTTAGTGTAGGGGCCTTGGTTTGGGGGCCCATTTGGCTTTTCTTTTAATGAGGAAGCCTCAAAGTGACATTGGGAATCACTGCGGCCCCTATATTGGCTTTGCTGGGTATAAGGGTCAAGGAGGTGTGAATTGCATTCATGTTTTCTCAGATGTTAAATGCTGCTTTGCCACAGGAGAGTTGCCTTAAGCTCGCTCTTGTTCGATGCCTCAGGGGTGATTTTGAAGATGAAATCTGCTCACCACAACGAACCCCGAATCCCACACCCAAAACTTTGGACTTCTTCACAGCGCTGAAGTCCCGGTGCACACAGGGTACTCCATGCTCTATCAGAGAGCTCGAGAACTTTTCATGTTATTAACTACTTGGCCCATGTCGGAAAGCCTGACATATACTTCAATAAAAAGAATTGCCTCATGCTGTGTCCTTGCATTCTAAACCCTTCACTGCCTCAACTCCTGGCACGATGCTAGAGCCCTGGGCTAGGGTGAGGGCGCGGTCCTTCTTCCAATATAGACCCCTGATTAAGAACCTGCTCCCTTTATGATTATAGCTTACCGTAGGCATCCCAATAACAGAATTACTGGAGCCTTTCAAGAAAAGTTTTATGATTCAGGTGTCTACATTGACTGTGCTGCGATCCGGTCTCGTTGTCCTACCTAGGCTACAACTCCACCATCACCGCATGCGAGAAAGCCGGGAAGTGGCAGCAAGTCGCTTGGACTTGTCACGGTTTAGGGTTTCGGGTTTAGGGTTTAGGTTGTGTGCAGGTTCAGAGGCCTGGAAACCCCGGTAAAAAGGCAGCAAATGCCGCTGAATTCGCTTGTCAGACGAGCCTGTCGACAGTCTGCACCACTTGTTGAGATCCCAAGGAGCGTATGTTTGGCTCACGTTGTGTTATCGCGCTAGAATGCAGAACCTAAATCCAAATTCCCCGAAGCCTCCTGAGACCTGAAGCACTGATCCACAAAGCCTCAAACCCTAACCATTTTTATACTCAAACCCTTCGTTTGGATTCCTGTAGAATCCGATACAACTCTAGAAATGAAACTCAGTACAGGCATTGCTGCTCTTCTCGGCCCTTCCACGGGCCAAGCTCGCCCCCACCATCGTCACCTTCGGCTCTGTGACACTTGCCTCTGAAGTTCTAATTCCCGAGGGTCCAGCGATTTGTATACTTGGGGGTCTAAGGGGATCTTGTAAGGGATCCGTTTAGTGTCCCTCAGGATTCTGTTTAGTGCCTTAGTGCTTAATTGATGCTATATGTGGATCCATTCACCCGATTCGTATATACGTCGGCCCTCAAAAGGGCGCCTGTATAGCTACTTCACGGCACTGTGTATCCTATACGCGAGGCTTCTGGATCAGCGGTTTTGGTTGAATGTTCAGGGTTTCGGGCTAGTTCTCGTGGTAAGTAGGGTGCACGGGGCGTGGGAATCAGTGAGAAGCAGCGTCATCACAAGTTTCATGTTTCAGGGAATCGGAAGGCAGTTCCAGAACCCCAAAATCCTAAACGCTTGGTACCCAAACCAACCCTGAACCGTCGCTCTTCGCTCCCTGCCCTTCAAGGGTGCGATTTCGGCAACCCTAAACTTCCTGAAGCTAAGGATCAGTGCCTGCGAGAAGGGAGGTCACTGGCAGATGGCTCTGCAGATCTTCCACAGCATACCAGGAGCCTTTGCTCTTTTAAAGCAACTTGGGGGTGGGTTTAGGCTGTTTTTCGTTTCTATGGCTACTTAAACCCAAGAAGGATTAGAAGATTGAATTGTTGAATACGATACCCAGCATGAACTAGTTACCTTAACAGGTCCATAAGTATATGGTACAAAGGTGTTCCTTACCGGCTTGCCACAACAAGACCAGCTACATATATATATATATATACACACACATACATATGCCTATGGCGATGACTTAAACCATGTTCTCAACCGCTCTGCACAACCCTTGACAAGCCTTAGGTCACAGTAACTTCAGTTCGGCTCGATGACACCACCTTAAGCCCTAAACCCTAAACCCCGAAACCTTAAACTTAAACCCTAAACCTTGAACCTTGAAGCCGTAAAGTAGGGGCCGACACAGTTGCCTATACTATTTTTTTTTTTTTGGGGGGGGGGAGGGTGGGGTCCTTATTAAGCTTCTAGTATAATGGGCCTCAAAACCCAATTCGAAGTTTTCAGGCCCCTACACCCTAAACCCTGAAAGTAGTCCTTATTATAGAACCCTTTAAGGAGCCCTATGAAACCCTGTTCGAAGCATTAAGGCCCCTATCGTTCTCTCGGACACCAGAGCCTAGGAGCGTCCCTCACGCCCAACGTCATCAGCTTCTCGGCTCCAAGTTTAGGGTTCAGAAGTTCAGGATTTGGCTTTACATGTAGACTTTATACAGGTGGGTGGTCTCTTTACTTGGGGTTTCTGTCTTAAGAGGCTGTATACAGGGATCTTTATTACAATATATAGTATATAGCTATAACACAGTATAAGGAGCAGATAAAGAGACCAAAAGCCTGTCTCATGTCGACTGTAGACCCTGGGTTCATCCTCGTAGCTCATTTTCCTTTGACATGTTAGGTTAAGGGTTTAGGGACCATCTAAGGGTTTTAATGATTAGAATAGGGTCTTGGGGTCTATTTTACTATAAAGATAATAAGGAACCCCCAAACCCTGTTCTAATTATTAAGGCCCCTACATTAGTAAGATTGAGGTCCGACAGGAGAGGGGATTCATGCATCAGAGGTCGACAGCGTCTACATTATGCCTTGGACGTACACTACAAACCTAAGCCCTTCAAGCCACACCCTAAACCTTACGGAGCACCCATTCAACCCGATACCCGTCTGTTAACACCATAGAAAGCTCGATGAGGCCATTGTGGAACCCGGCAAACCCGGTAAAGTTGGTTTGCAGACCTCAGGATCGTTGTAAAACCCCTAGTTTCTTGTCCAGACCTGAAAGCTGCTCAACAAAAAACAAAAACATGTTACCTTCAACCGTAACCCCAAAACCCTAAATTCTAAGTCCTAAAGCCTAACCCCCTAAACGTAAGTTCTAAATCCTAAGTCCTCGAGCCTGGAGCCCCAAAGCCGCCAGCAAAACCGCAGAGCCAACGAAGGTTTCAGCGCTGCCATCAGTGCTTGCGAGAAGAGTGGGGCCTGGCAGAAGGCCCCGGATGTTCCTTCACAGTTTAGGGTCCAGGGTTTAGGGTTTAGGGGTTTAGGGTTCAGGGTTTAGGGTTAGGGTTTAGGGTTTAGGGGTTTAGGGTTTAGGGTTTACCGTTTAGGGTCCAGGGTTTAGGGTTCAGGGTTCATACTTTGAGGGTTTCGGGGGCATCTCAGATCCAATCAGGGCTTCTTTGGGTGCCTGTTTAAGGGATTCCTGTAAGGTATTCTTTTAAGGGGATCGGTTGAAGGTTCCTTTAAGGATCGCAATCAACCCTAAACGCTAGACCCCTGCAGACATAAGCATTTGTAGCACAGGTTCATAGTTATTGCTGGTAGTGTCCTTCCTTTCGGCATTCCCCGAGTGCTAAACCCTAAACCCCTAAACCCTACACCCTAAACCCTACACCTAAACCCTAAACCCCCAAACCCCCAAGCCCTTAAACCCTAAACCCCCCGGTATTACAATGGTTTAGAACTACTCACGATGCTCAGCCCGTATGACTCGTAATTTCAGCCCTAAACCCTAAACCCTAATCCCTAAACCCTAATCCCTAAACCCATCCCTAATCCCTAAACCCTAATGAATCCCTCAACCCTAAACCCTACACCCTAAAAGCCCGACAGGTCTAAACCGCCTAAACCCTGAATCTGACACCCCAGAGAGGGCTCAGGGTTTCAGGCTCCTAGCAACAACCCTAAACCCTAAACCCCTGAACCCTAAACCCCTGAACCCTAAACCCAAACCTTAGTAGAAGTTTTCGAACTTTAGTTTGGGGTTGGTCCCAAGTAGAATGCTAACTTTGGGCGAAAAGGGTTCGGTGTTGTTGGGTTTGGGTTGAAGTTAATCCCGAAGCCTGAATATCCAACAGTGTTTCCTGAGGGTTCCGCATTATGCGTACTTACACTTTAACCCCTAAACCCTAAACCCAGTGATTAAGACCCCAATGTGACCTTCACAACCTACCCTTACGGCTTCAAGCTAGCTGGGGCCTCAGGGGTTTTGGTTTTTGGGTTTCGGGTTCATACTTTTGGGGTTTAGGCTTTCAGCTTAGGTCGTACCATTTAGGCTTTGGTTTCACGGGTGTTCAGAGAGGACTTCGGGGGTCTAGGCAAGGATATTGGGTTACCGGTGCAAGTTTCTAGCAGCCAACGGTACAAATGTCACGAGCTCTGCTTGGGTATGATCCACCTAGATCTCCCTTGGGTTTTCGGGCTTGAGGGCTTGAGGGCTTTAGGGGTTTAGGGTTCATGGTTTAGGGGTTTATGGGTTTATGAGGTTTAGGGTTGAGGGGTTCAGGGGTGTAGGGTTTAATTTTGGATTTTAGGATCGTCCAGGCTTTGCAGCTCTTCTATGACATGCCTGAAACCGACGTCGAGCCGAACACCATCAGCTGCGCTGTGAGTTTAAGTTTAGGATTTAGGGTTTCTAAAGCCTGAACCGTAAACCCTAAACCTCTACGTTTCAATTCTCCTCCGCCCAACTGTAAGCCAAGAAGCATGGCTTAGGCTTAAACACTTATGAAGCTCGTATAGTACCCCTTATAGTCACCTTGATAGTAAGTTATGGTAACCCCTTCTAGTAGTCCTTGTAGTAACCGTCCTAGTAGGCCTCGAACCCTTTTAAAGGAAGCCGTTGGTAGAGCAGCCGAGGTTACAGCGCCGCCATCAGCGCCTGCGAGAAAGGCGGACAGTGGCAGCTGGCCCTGCACTTCTTCGACACTATGCCAAAGGCACTTGGGGTGTAGGCTGTGGGGGATAGGTGCAGTTTTTTTGTTTTTTTGGGGGAGGGGGGGTGAGAGGGTTTGGATGTGCAGTTTATGGATGTAGGCTTTAGGGAACCATGTTCAGTGACGGTTGGGGGATGAGGGTAATTACTGAAGTCGCCTGTCGTCGTTCGGCTTGTTCCTTGAGCTATGACGCAGATCCAAAACAATCATGACTTTATTCTGGCGCTCCGACTCAGGCAACTCTACAACTCGGCAAAGACAGCGTACTGACCTACTGCGTGTGAAGAGAGAGACGCCTCAGTTGCTGGTAATTTATGTTCATAGTCTTAAGGTTCAGCAGCTGCAACTGGACTAGCAAAAGACAAGTTCCTGCCCCGAAGGTTGCTTTGTTGTGAGGTGCGCTGCAATTGCTTCTGCTGTAGGCTTTACATCTGGAGCTACAGTCACTCAAGGTGGATTTTTCGGTTTTGCCCCATTTTGCGCAATCCAAGACCCTAAACGCTAAAACGCACCCGCTCACTAAATCCCCTGGTCCTTATCGAAGGGTGCTGCGAGGGTGCTGGACAAGAAAGCAGAAGTCCGATCTCTTTGAAGCCATGGACCCTGAAATCTAGGCTCGACAACCCCTAACGGCCCTAACCCGTAAACTCCAAACCCAAACCCTAAACCCAGAACCTTAACCCTTATAAACCCCAACCCCCTAAACCCTAAGCCCTAAACCCTAAACCCTAAACCCTAAACCCTAAACCCTAAACCCTAAACCCTAAGCCCTTTCAAACCTTTCAGCTCCAAGCCCCAAGAAGCCGCTCCGATCTCTTGGAAGGTCAGGCTTCAGCGCAACATCTCCAGTTATTCCGCAGCCCTCAGCGCCTGCGAGCAGGTCGGGTGTATAGCAAACCCCAAAAAGTTGGGAACCGGATTAAGGACAAATAGTGCCGGGATTCCCTAAACAGAACTCTTCAGGATTGAGGCTAGTGGGTTTCCAACTTTTGGGCTTCTACTAGAGGGTTTAGGGTTTAGGGTCTCGCAGACTGGCGTGGCGGTTGGGCTTGGCTCTTGCTTTGCATGTTTTGCACGCAGGGTTATGATGATTAATGAATGGCCTCTGTCATTTATGCGGTATATGCTTGTGCGGGCATGTATCCAGAAACCCTATCTCGTTATTCTGTGTTTAAGGCTTGTACTTCCTTACCCTAAACCCTAAACCCTACTATAAACCCTAAACCCTATTATAAACCCTAAACCCTACTATAAACCCCTAAACCCTATTATAAACCCTAAACCCTAACCCTAAAACGGTTCTGGTTCTGCAGTGTACAGGCATGTAGCTTGGTTCCCCGGCATGGTCCGTGTCAGGTTTTGCTCATCTCCCCTTCAGCATGTCCAGTTGTCCCTAACCCCAAGGGTCCAAAGGACCCAATAATCAGGTACTTAGGTTTCGGATAGTAGTTATGTAGGTTATTATTTGGGAGAGTATATGATTGTTAGGTACTTGAACCCTTGGGGTAGGGGCTGTAGTGCCCAATATAGTAGGCACCTGAGGGGTTAGGGTGTGTTGCGCTGACATGAATCCGGTTACCACGCTCAGTAGCTTCGTTTTCGGTTGTTACCTCGTGGGCTGAACCATAAAAATTTCGTTTGTAGTGATAGTAAGACCCCCACGCCTAAATCCCTAAGCGGTAAGTCAACGCCCTGCTTGCCTACAGCCATGTACCGTAAGCCTGAGAACCCTGAACACTTTAAACCATAAACCTTTAAATCCCGAAACACGAAAGCTTGACAGAACTCTTATGGATCCCGCAAAGGAACCTGAAGAGAACCCCATCAAGCCCGATTCTCTCGACCGCCGTGGGCCTGCCAGGGTGCTGCGTGGGAACTCGCACTGCAGCTCGTGGGCTCTTTGCCGAGAGATGGGCTGCGAGGGGTGGCACGGCGAAACGGTGGTGGTGTCATGTGCGATGTTCGGTTGTGTTGTACCGTATCGCCCCATATTATTCCACGCATATATATATATATATATAGATATCTCTCTCTCTCTCTATCGCCTGTAGTGTGACGTGTGACGCTTTCTGTATAGGTATATAGAGAGAGAGGGAAAGAGAGTGGGGCTGTATACATAATGTACATATACATATATATACATATATATATATATATGTATATATGTATACGCACGCTATGCACGCACGCCATTGCATCTGGTAACTTTTGTTTATGACTTGTTTACTGTTCGTGTGATTCGTCTGCTTATCGTCACATATGTAGACTTGAGAGGTAAACGGTAAATGTGCAACTGCCTAACTATACTAGTTCTATATACTTACACACCTATACAGGTGGGGTGTGGGATGTTTGGTGGATGTACTGCAGTGCAATGCATTGCAATGCTACGCAACTCAATGCAGTGTAGTGTAGTGTACTGCAAGAAGTGTAGCTTACTGTCATGTCTGTAATGTAGTATATGTCATGTAAGGATTATGTACCGTGTTGTACTGTAATGTTATGTAAAGTAAGATAATGAGTATAAAGTTCTGCATTGATAAGTAAAAGAATATAATGTCATGTAATGTAATGTTATGTAATGTAATGTAATGTACTGACCCAATCAATTGATGTGTATATATACACACATGTATAGGTCATGTCAATGTGTATATGCATACATTTACATATAAAACAGTATTTCTCTCTCTCTCTCTCGCTCCGTACTTATGGAAAAATATATATATATATATATATTATGTAGAGGTGCAGGTGTGGATATACATGTCAATGTCATAAACGTATGAATGACATGTACATAGATATGCACTGTGTTCGTATGGACAAAGTCTCAGTTGAACTCGTCTCAGGTGTCCAAGATGTGAATTCAAAGTACATGAACCTAAATTAGGGTCCTTTTTGGGTCCCCAATATAGTACGGCACCCTTATAAAAAAGGATCTCCCCAAAGGGACCCTAATTTAGAGAACTACCCACATACTTACCGGATCCATCCGTGTTTGGAGTTTGGGGCTTACAAAGGCGTTTTTCGAGTTTGGGGTTCAGGACTTAGGGCACCTAAAAGGGTTACGTACAGTCGTATGAATTGCATCGAAATCTCTTCCCAGTCAGCTGCATTGCTTCCGAATTCAGCAACTGCGGAGTCTCAGACTCTTAGGTTCTGGGCTTAGTTCGCTTCCTCAGTTGCTTAGGATTTAGTGCTTGGAGGTTCATGGGTAGTTATAAGTATGGTTATAAGTCCCCTAATATGGGTTATAATTATAGTTACCCTACTTATAACCCCACTTAAAACTACCCATGAACCTCCAAGTGGGTGCGGGGTTTAGGGCGACATCTCCGGAAGCAAGCCCTCCATTCGCAAGCATCCCCCTCACCACTGCAGGCTCGGCAGTCGAGCCACTTTGAGCCTCAAAGCTGTGTAATATAGGGGCTTAAATAATTACCCATGCTATTACGGGGGTTCCTTAATGCATATATATATATATATATATATGTTCTAATTATAAAGGCCGCTACATTACTCAAGAATTCAGAAGACTCGCTATGTGTGCAACAAACCCTTCATGACCCTTAACTTCATCCAAGTAGTTTTCAGGAACCCTAAACCCTAAAACCCTAAAGCCCTAAACCCCAAACCCTAACCCTTTTCAGGACACTATTCTCTACGGCGCCACCCTGAGCTCGCTGGAAAAGGCAGGCCAGTGGCAGCTGTCCTGGCATCTTCTCTTCAGACTGCCGCAGCTTCAGCTGAGCCTTAGCCCAGGAGTTGAGACTTTTCCCTAAACCCGCAAGCACCTAAACCCTAAACCCTAAACCCCTAAGCACCTAAACCTTCAACCCTACTCTTAAAACCTCAGAACCCTAAACCCTGTGTCAGGCCTGAGAGTTATTGCTAAGCCCACTATCTATCTATATCTGTATATGTATGTGTGTATATATATATATACATGTATGTATGTACACCCTCTTCCTCAAAACAGAAGGTCTACGCGGGCTAGCTATAGCTCCATAGAGTACAGCACAAAATCAAGACTCTGCTAAGCTACATGTTCAGCTTAGACTCCAAACTCAAGTCGATCTGTATATCTAACTTCATATGTATGCAGGTGTATATATATATATATATGGTAGGTATAGATGTGTGGGTATTTAGACACATAGAAATGTAGATTTATACCTGCAGGTAAAATATATAGGTATATGGATATAGACCTCTGGTGTGAACTCCATCCCAGGGATCCGGACATTATCGCCTGCAATGCCGCGCTTGGAGCCTGTAGGATCGGCTGAGGGCTCAGGGCTGGGAGTTGGGGGTCGAGGGTTTCGGGACGAATTAAGGTTTAGGGTTTAGGGACGGTTTAGGATTTAGGGCTTGTATAGGTTTTAGGGTTGAGGGTTTAGGGCTTAGGGCTTATATAGGTTTTAGGGTTTAGGGTTCAGGGCTTAGGGCTTGCAGTTGGGGGTTGAGGGTGTAGGCAAAGAACGTTTGGGGAACACAGAAGGGCGTATAAAAGGTATGTGAGGTGTCTTAAGTCCTACGGGTGTACACAGAGGACACAAAATATGGGCTAAGGGGTTTCGGAAAGCTGTTGTTAAACCCTAAACCCCAAACCCTGAACCCTAAGCTGTCTGTTAAAGGTGTGACACAGGTCTGATTGGTTGTATCGGAGTTTGGAGGGGCTTCTCAAACAGAGGGAGATGGAAAATGAGCCCTTTGTTCAAGAATCCCACCCTGAATCCCTGGCCCCTCAACCTTGAGCCACTTTCCCCAAGGGTCCCATGTACTGTTATGAGGGATACTTCCTTAAATCACAATGGTAATTCCAGAAAAAATGTATCCCTACATAGTGCGATGTCCGTAAACCCTACACACTAAACCCTAAACCCTATTTCGGAAGGCTGTACAGGAACCCCGAACCCTCAACCCATCAAGGAACCCTGCAAGGAACACGTCCAGGTACGTGCTGTGGATGATGTAAATCCTGCATTACCTTAAGGATCCTAGACTATGGGACTTAATGTCTATTCCTGATTATGGGTAATGCAGGATCTAGATCATCAACAGCAACCCTAAACCCTAGATATAAACCCTAGATATTTTGGCTCTTATATTTGGGAACTCACGGTTGAAGCCGTAGTACACATAGCACCCTTCGGGCTTCAGCCTGCCAGGAGAGCGGGAAGGTGGCAGTGGATCTTGGAACTTTTCGCCGCCATGCCGGCGATGGAGTGCCTCTGCCACGAGTTTAAGGGTTTAGGGGTTTAGGGTCAGGGGTTTCGGGGTTTAGGGTTTAGGGTTTACGGGTTTACGGGTTTGGGGGTTTGAGGGTTTGGGGGTTTAGGGCTTCGGGGCTTCGGGGTTTTGGGGGGTTTTGAGGTTGCGGGGGTTCATGGTTGTTTAGACGAATGCGGCTTTAGCATCTTCTTAACTCAAGGCCCAAAGCCCTAAACGAACCTCCAGGCCCTCAGCCACTAAATCCTCTCACGACAGTGATAACACTGAAGATCAAGACTCTCAACCCGAAGCTCAGAATTCCAAAACTGCAAAGCCCTGCCTGCACACCCCTGAACCCCAAACACTACACCCCAAACCCTACGCCCTAAACCCGAAACCCTCAACCCCTTTCCCTAAACCCTAAACTCCTAACCCCTAAATCCTGAGCTAAATCCCTGTAGGCCCTTTGCAGACCCCTCGGTTGCATTCTTGGAATACGCTTGCATACACTCACATGGGGTAGTTCTCGAAATTAAGGTCCTCGTTTCGGGGTTCCTTAAAGGGGTAGTTCTCTAAATTAGGGTCTGTCTTTAGGTCCCCAATATAGTAGGGCACCCTTTTAACAAGGACGCTACTAAACGAAACCCTAGTCTAGAGAACTACCCAAATGTCTCAACCTCAAGCCCTAAACCGCTAAACCCTATAGACCTGGCTTAACTAACCCTTATATTACCCTAAACCGTAAACTCGTAAACCCTGCACCCTGAACCGTAAAACCTAAACCCAACCTTAACCCCAAAAGCCCTACCTTTTTAAGGGCTTATATAAAGAATTCATAATAAGGGACCCTAAAGAGGTAGCCTCTTTAGGGTCCAGGAAGACCTTGCACTGTTAACTTGGAGCCTCGCAGGCTTTTTCCCAACCTCCTCAGCTTTCACTCGGTCTTGGACTGCACCCAGAGCCTTGCGTGGCACTTCTCTTTCTTCGGGTTTAGCTGATTAAGGTTTAGGGTACAGGAGTCTTTGCGACGATGTAAGAAAAGTTTCAGAGGCTTGTTTGGGGGTTTATGTGATTCTATAGAGTTGTAATGAGGGCTTTTTATGCGAGCTGTCGGAATCTTAGCACCCAGCGCACCCAACACTTCGGAACTTGGGCCTGGGAAGATGTAGTTGTAGGCCATTTTTTTTGAGAAGTATCTGATATGATCAGTAGGTATTTCGGAGCTTAAACGGTAGTTCGCAGCTCCGACTTGTTGTTTTGGCGATGGAACCTATCCACGATGGTATCCCCAATACAGTCTTCATGGTATCAAACGCTGGTGATAACCCTAAACCCTGAACCCTACACTCAGTAGGTATTCCGGAGCTTAAACGGTAGTTCGCAGCTCCGACTTGTTGCTTTGGCGATGGAACCTATCCGCGATGGTATCCCCAATACAGTCTTCATGTTATCAAACGCTGGTAATAACCCTAAACCCTGAACCCTACACTCAGTAGGATAGGCTTCAGTTCGGGGGGTGTGCTGTTGAGCAAAGTTTGTGCATGGGATTCAGGGGCTTCTGCCGATGTGTGCTGCTGCCTACAGGGACCAATGCAATTAAGCCCAAAGCCCGAAAGCTTGGAATCAGCGCAAGTTTGCCTCTTGCAATGATTTCAATTCACGACCGTCCGAGGAATAGTAGTGTGGACCGCGCAGACGTCGCTGAAGCTGTCAGCCGCAGCATCCAGGACGGACTTCACTGCGCTCAATTTCCTTGGCACTTCGTTTCCAAAAGCAAGTCTCGAGGGGCTTAGGATAAGACTAAGATGGCTTTCAGAACACAAGACCCATGTTGCCCTAGATGTGTCCATATACCTATAATCTATAGTGTATTTTTTGGCTTAAAACGCATTCCTACTTCGGGGCCATTGTGCAGAGTATATGGGTACAAGGAACCTTTGGTATAAGGCATTTGTATGATTCAGCCTCCAAAAACAGTGCAGTGCGAATCCTCTATCTTCGCGGCTAGACGTGCTCTCCCGTTTCCAGGACTTGGGCAAAGCGCCGATATCGGGCACATCCACCATGGGCATGCTCTACATCAAAGCTCAGATGACTGTTCAATGGTGCCCGGGTTTGGGGTACGGCAAGTTTCCACCGAGTCAGGGGGACTTAAGAATTACGGCACCTTGTTTTCTCGATATTTCATCCCAAACAAAGCTCCTACAATGTGCGCCGAAGCCCGCTACTAACCTAGATCACGAAATCGCTCTCACACTCGGCTATCTAGGTTGTGACGCATGCATGCTGTGTCGATACTTTGAGAATCGGGGCATGACCACATAGTCACAACCCGTGAAAAATTGATCGACGGTCGTGTTCGCACAGATGCAGGTATGTTGTATGGTATAAGTAGGTCATATCGTATCAGCCATGTTCATGGATTATCCACATATGTGGGTACATCGCGAGGACAACAGTTTTGACACACTGGGCCGTTCATCTACTCAGACCTGCTGCGGAGTAGCGGAGTAGGCAAAAGGTCAAATTACGTGGCGTGGCCAGCGGAGTATTTTATACCCCGTTTCAACATTATACGACTTCGACGTTCCGGAGGAGTGCCCCATGGGTCCCCTTTGTTAGGGGGCTTCTGTATGACGGTGTTATACGGGTTCTTGTCGCTCACAGCATGTCTAAGGGGTGTCAATGCACGAAAAATTAACCCCAAACCCTAAACCTTATTTGGGCACGGCTCTGTCGGCTTCGCAGGTTTACGAGGAGAGGTGGCAAACCGCCAGGACCTAACCCGAAACCCGACATCCGTCTACCTGGCCTGCCCTATCAAAAAATGACAACAAAGAGCCAATCAAAACCTTAGAACCCTTATCAAAAAATATTACAACCCTCAGAAAGCCCGTATAGAGCCATTATAAATCATTCGTTGGACCCGAAAAAGCCTTTTAAGACCCTTATAAAACCCTCAAAAGACGTTCTGAAATCCTTTACAACAGTCTTGTGAAACACGTCAACCTGGGCGGCCAGGGTTTGGGGCAGGGTTTGGGTGTGAGGGTCCCTTCTTGAAGGATCCTCCAAGGCTTGCAGGGTTTATTGTTTGAGGGTTTGGGGATTCGGTGTTCATCGTTTAGGGGTTTAGGGTATAGGGCTTTGGGTTTAGAGTTTAGGATTCAATTCGGGTTTGAGGGTTTGGGGTTCAGGGT